GGGGCCCAGGGGCCTGCAGCTGGGATGCAGCCCCCTGCCCAGGACGCAGGGCCGGGGCGTGGAGACGTGTCCGGGGACGCTCTACACGCCCGCGGCGCCACCGACACGCGGCAGCGCCCCGCGTCCCCGCGGACGAGCTTGTCCCCAGATGGCGGACCGGCCCTTCCATCACCCGAGGAGGGGCGGCTCGCGCGAGCCACGAACCTGAAGCTGGGCGCTGCCCCCGATGTGCACCGAGCAGGGTCCTCGAGGAGACCAAGGTGGCCTTTTGCACACACCTGGCTCCGGCGGCCCCCTCCCTCTGTCTGGGCATCGCCTGAGCCCAGCGGGGCCTCTGCAGGGGAGACGGCTGCTCTGCAGGGGATCACCCAGGCGTGTGACAGGACTGGTCACCGGTGCCACGTGGCGGCAGCTTCGATGTTTTCTCTGGGTTCTGTTCCATCTTAAGAAATCTTTACAATTCTCAGCATCCCCACCTGCTCTGACCCAGTCTTCACGAAAGAGGCATCAGCCTCGCCCCGGAGAGGGGCGTGTGGCCAAGGACTCAGTGCTCTAGGGGGACGAATACGCAGGGTGGCAAAGGATGAGTGAGCTGGAGCTGTGCCCTGCAGCGGGGCACACGAGCGGCGCATCCGGTGGGCCCCTGTGCCCTCTGGTCCTTCCGCGGCCGCCGTGGCCCAGAGTTTCCTCTTCGTCGTCACCGACGCCTCGGCGTCGAGCGTTCCCTCCTGCATCCGTGCCAGGCTCGCCAGCCCGTGCAGCACTCGGCGGCCTCGTTCCAACGCGCTGCCAGGGCCCAGAGCGCTTGAGGGTGCGTGCGTGGCCGTCGCCACCGCCTCGGCAGCCCTGCTCCCCCAAGCCCCCTTGGTCCCCCGCCCGGCTCTGCGCTATCCTGGAGCTTTGGAAGAAGGAAGTGCGTGGCTGAGGCTGGGGTCTCAGCTCCCACCGTGGGCTCCTCCCTGCGTGACAGACGGAGCAAGTGCTTTTTCTTCCTCCGTGAGGTGTGGAAGGAGGTCGCGCGGCAGACCCCGCTCTCAGGGGAAGACTCTGAAGCGGCTGCGCATTTCCTCATTCATCAAATAGGCCGATATTTGCTGGGCGTCCGTGACGTCCTATTGTCCCCAAAGACACGTGTCTGGTTTGCAGACTGGATGCCCCTAACCCTGGTCCTTTGCGTCCTGCCTGCCGCGGCCTGTGGGGCAGGGCAGGGCTGTAGCCGCCTTCTCCCGGGGCGGGAGGGGAGCCCAGAGCCACTGGAGGTGATGGGCTTGTGTCCAGTTCCTCAGGCGAGGACACTGAGGCCCAGAAGAGTTAAGTTTCTTGCCCAAGGTCACAAGTTCATGACCCAGGCGCCAGGATTAGAGCCTGGGACGCTCGGGTTCCTAACTGGAACGGGTTGGGATCCGCTGGGTCTCAGAGTTGAGTCACCTCCTGGGTCCTGTGGCCCCTTTGTGTCTTTCAGACTGGCTGCTGCTCCAGACGTCCCGCCTGCGGTTCCAGGAGGGCGAGCCCATCATGCTGAGGTGCCACAGCTGGAAGGACAAGCCTCTGTACAAGGTCACATTCTTCCAGGACGAAAAACCCAGGAAGTTTTCCACCTTGAACTTCACCTTCTCCATCCCACAAGCAAACAGCAGCCACAGCGGCGAGTACCACTGCACGGGGTTCATAGGGCAGATGCAGCACTCGTCACCACGCGTGAGCATCGCTGTCCAAGGTGGGCGCCAGCCCGGACGGGGGGCGGGAGAGGGGCTGGGCAGGCAGGCCACGTGGGCTGTGCGGGGGGGTCCGAGACCGGCCACAGCAGCACGGGCAGCGGGCAGAGAGCGGAGGCACCAGGCCGGCTGAGTGTTGGCCAGTGGGCAGAGAGGGGCAGGGGCAGGCGAGGCGTCTGTGGTGCCACGTGGAGATGCAGGTACCACCCCAGGACAGCAGCTGAGCAGGCCTCCCTCACGGGTGCAGGGCCCCCGAAGCTCCTGGCACCCCCAAAACTGAGGTGGTCCCCACCTTCCAGTTCTCACTCATGCCATTCACCCTCTCAGGCGTGGCCTGTGCCGACAGCTGCAGGCTGTGCGGGATCCAACCACGGTGCCTCCAGCTGTGGGGCCTCAGGCGCCTCCCTGCTGTCCCTCTGTCCTGCACACTCAGACTTAGGCTGGCGTGGGGGACGCAAGGCCAGCCACAGAAACCCTGGGTGGCTGAGGTGGGGGAGGGGGGCTGCCCCTGGGAGTGGCCGCGGCACAGCTGCTCCAGGGCACAAGCACTGGGCACAGCACCGGGGGGCGGGGGCGGCACGGGGAGGGGGCTGCCTGCCTGAGGTCTGTCTTCCCTAGGGTCCGGCTCCAGCAGCACCTTGCTGGTGACGGCAGTCGTGGCTGTGGTCGCTGGCATTGCTGCCACAGTCGTGGTCATCGCCGCGGTGGCCTGGTTCCGTCTCAGGCGCAAGCAGACTTCAGGTTTGTGTTTTCTCTCAGTCCCTCTCGTCGTCGGTTCCTGCCTTGCCCCGGCCCCACCCCGACTGTAATCTCCTGCTGCAGAACTCTAGCGTGCAGAGGTAGCCCCAAGTTTGATCCGTCCTCTCGTATGTCGAGCGGTGCCCGAGGCCGTGGGCGACCCCAGGATGAGGGAGCCCAGGCTGGCGCTCGGAGCTCGTGGCGTCATAGCAAGTCAGAGGACGAGCAGATCGAACAGATGGCCGTAGTCTGAGGGGTTAATAGCCGCTGTGACAGACAGTGTCAGGGCCGCAGCGAGGGCCTCACAGAGGGCGACAGTGTGGTGACAGCTCCGAGCCGCCTGTGTCCTGGCTCCACAGCCGTGTGACCCTGGGCGAGCTACCGACTTCCCTCACCTGGAAAAGAGGACAGGGCCAGGCGCCTTGCGGCCACGGCTGAGGCTCTCTCGGCGGCGCTGAGGGCCAGGTGTTCTCATGGTACAGGGGCGAGGTCTGAGGGTGGCAGCTGGCCAGGAAGACAAGGACATGCAGGGCGACAGGCCTCGCAGGAGCGTGAGGGGGATGCCGCGAAGTCAGAGGTTCAGAGCCAGGAAAAACGGGGAGATGGGGCGGCGGCGGAGGCGGGGAGCAGACGGCGGGGCCAGGTGCACGAGGGCCTGGGAGAGGTCTGCAGCGTGAGGGCTCGCCGGCAGCCGCCTGTCTCCTGGCCCATCACGTCCCCCCAGCGCCTAGCACAGTGCCTGCCACCCACTGGGCACTCAGTAAACACTTGGTCACTGACTGACCGGCCAAATGATTGAGCTCTGTGGAGGCAGCTTCTGCCCTCAGGCCGATCAACGCCCGGAGTCCAGGGAGAAGAGAAGGCGGCTGGAAGCCATGAGCAAACCGGCCCCAGACACCGCACTGAGATGCCCTGGAGACCCCTGGCTCAGAGGAGCTCGGGGCAGAAACGGCCCGGAGCCCCTGAGAAAGACACTGTGACACTCGCGGTCCCCGGATGCACGCACACGGACACAGCGCTGTGGGCGGGGAGGGAGCTGCTCAGAGGCAGAGTGGGCCTAGGGAAGAGGCAGTGGGGCCGCCCTGTGTGTCGCTGGACGCGCCCTCCACAGTCCTGGGCGGTCCCTGTGCAGGTGGCGAGGGGTCTGTGTTAGTTCTGAGCCAATCTCACCCGGTCCATCCTGTCGACTCAGGCCCTGCCCCATAACCCTACTAACCTGCTGTGTGCCCTCCTAACCCTCCCAGGAACCCCTGAGCACAGGGCAATGGGAGACACCCTACCTGAGGAACCAGGTGAGTGCAGCCCCCGGGGGCTCATGCCGCCCCGCCCGGGGCTGCCAGGTGGCTCTGAGCAAGGAGCAGCCTGCGTGAGCTCAGCTAGGAGCACAGGGAAGGCAGGGGTGAGGGGAGCGGGGCAGGGGCTCAAATCGCTTGGTCAGCTCTGAGACTGGCTCCTGGGCCTAAAGAGGATCTCTGGACTTGAGAGGGTCACCTCTGCCAGGTGGAGAGGGGAGGCCGTGTCCCAGCTTTGGGGACTAGGAACGCGGCAAACGTGCAGAGCAGGAAAGCAGGGCCATGCGGGTCTTTCTGAGGGGCTTCGGCAAAGTTGGCACAGGACAGGATTAGACGCAGGGAGACTGAGGCACAGGACGGAGGGCCGGGGGTCCAGGAGGGAGGGGCAGGAGCGGGGGACGACCTGGCTTTGCTGAGGAGTCCATGTTTGTGGAGCGATGGGCGGGGGTGGTCTTAGGGGGACATAGAGTCCTGGGGGTGTTAGTGGCTTCGTGGGCAAAGCTCGGTTCTAAGCTAACTGCACGTGGGCCTGGCCCCAGCTCTGTCACCGCGTGCAGTGGGGCCTGCAGGGAGTCGTTTTCCCATGGGTCCGGTGTCTCACTGAGGGAGTGCACAGCTGGCCTGGAGGACTTGCAAGGCCCTGCAGCTCCGAGGCCTGAGCACCGGTGACAGCCACGGCCTGGCCCAGGTGCCAGTGTGTAAAGGAAGCAGGAGTGTCCCCAGCTGCAGCTGGGGCCAGAGGACCCAGGAAGCTGAGGCTTTCTCAGGGGTGGGGGGCGGTGGGGACAGCAGAGTTAGGAGGAGAGGCCCTCAGGACCCCTCGATGGCCGATGGCCGGGAACTCAGAGCCGAGCAACTGATTTGAGAGCTTGAGCGAATGGCGCCGTCCAGCATGCTTCGGGCAGGGCCCTCTGTCCCTCAGCCTGAGTCTGCACCAGGGCCAAAGCTGACCTGGCCCGAAGCCCAGACAGCCTGAGACCCGTGCTGGGACGCGTGGCCCGCTCCCACGGGCATGCAGGTGTTTCCCAAGGCATTTATTTCCGGCCAGGCCTGGGCTGGGCTCCCAGAGGCACAGCCAGGCTGCTGGGAGTGTCTGAGGCCGTCAGAGCAGCCAAGGCTGGCCTGTTCCAGAGCCGGGAGTGTGGCGAACGGGATAGTGGACTTTGGGCCACGACAGTGGACACTGGCTACCTGGTCTCAGACTCCTCCTGCCTCCTGAGCTTTGCGCTCTGCAGACTCAGGGGGCTGCTTGCGCCAGATGAAGAAGCGCCCCGCAGAAGCACGAGGGAGCTGGGTGTGCCCGAGCTTGCACCGGGGAGGGCCAGAGAGGGGGCACTCGCTCCCTCCCACCCTCCCTCCCTCCCTCCCTCGCTCGCTCACGCTTTCTGTTTCATGTCACGAGTAGCCAGATTCTTGGAAGTTCCAACAAAGAGGCACCCCATTTGGCTGGGGATGGGGTGTGTGGCCCTCAGTCTTCCCTCCCTGAAGTCTGGCTGCAAAAGTCCAGCCTGGCTTCACGCTGGCACTGAGCACCCGGCTTGGCCCGAGGGCTCAGATCTCAAGAGATGGCGCCACGCCACCGGGGGCCCAGCAGTCCTCTGAACAGGATGTGGCCCTCGCCGGCGTGGCCAGCGTGTGTCCTTGGGTCTGCTGGGCTTCGGCTGGCCCGCAGCATCCACGGGCCTGCTCCCACAGCAGCGCCCGGACCCACCTGTTCTTCCCGCCCACAGCCACCATCACGGATGCTGAAGGGGAGGCAAAAGTGAAGGTGAGCCCCCCACTGCCCTCCCCT